AGCACACCTCAGGAGGTTTCAAGTAGTGCAGATGACCATGGAGTTTCTAATGAACCAATGCAGTAAAACCAACACCAGTTCACCCTATCATGAGAAAAGGCCAAAAGATGGTCAGGACTGTGCAAAAGTTTAATCTGTGCATCATCTGAGGCTGTGGGATGTGCCCACATGCTGCCTTCACAGGGTGTGTTTGTTGAGGGAGTTACTGCAGAAGGTTCTCCAGCCAAACTCCTGGTGGCTCTACCTCTGGTCTCAGCCTTGTTCTGCCAACGCTGCGCACCCTGTGGCTGAGAACCCAGAGGGAAGTGCCCAGTCCTTTATGAACTGGACTCTCAATAAAGAAAAGGAGAGAGCAGATAATAAGGTGATATGTTATACAAAAGGGAAGGCAGCACCTGCTGCTAAATCCCACAAACTGCCCAGCAGCAAGCATACATCTTAAGGTGCCACTGGGAATTGCCCTCTTCCCTCTGAGCAGCTGGGTCTGCCAGCACTGGGTTGATACACGCTGTGAAGTGCCATCAGCTTTGCTCACCCAGTGGCTCTGTGCTGTGCCCCCACGGAGGGGCTCCTGCTCAGAGCATTCAAGCTGGTGTCCCCATCTCACACTGACCATCAGCTGCCTCTTAGCAGGGAGATGCAAAGGCATAACTGGACTGCGTTTGCCACATGCTGAATGGGAAACAGCTGGAGGCAGATGATTGTTTGGGTTATTTGCCTGTTGCCTGGACATTTTGTTTGCTTGTTTGAGCCCTGAAAAAATATGTTTCCAGTTCCTCCGGAGGCTGGTGTGTGTTAAGCCTGTGTATTGTGGGTTGATTTTAAAAACTGGTGTTTTATAACTTTGCAAATGAGTGTCCTGCTGTTTCGTGTTCCGCAGGCAAGGCTCCACAAATAAGGCAGTCTTCTCAGAAATTTCCCTGCCACAGAGCCAGTGGGACTGGGGGAGCAGGAGCAGCCAAAACAACATGCTTCTGGTGTCAGAGAAGCAGATATCCCTGAGTCTGGTTCCAGTGGAATCTCTCTCTTCTTGACTGGATTTAAGTGGCTGACTAAAGGATAATGCTGGCTGATATTTACAGACTGTGCTTAAAAGCCACTCAGCTTCCCTCACAATCAGCTCCTCAGCTGGTGTACTCCAGCATCTGTTGTGATCACAATACTGCATTTTTAGCTGCTCTGTCTGTAGCACTTGCACATACCCCCTGGTTCCTTACTGCTGGGTGTTTGCTTTTATTCTGAGTGGCTGGGCAGTCTTTGCTCTGTGAGAAAAGTGTCTTTTTTCTCACTGTATAGTGCAGCGTCTTGGCTGTGAAAAGCTGAATTAAGTAAGAATAGGCTGGTCAGGAAGCAGAGAGGGTGTTCTTGCCAGTTGATACTGGAGAAGTAATACTAAAAAGAATGCAGATTTGGCCAAGGCACTCACAAGCAGTGCCATGGGTCTAGTCATGAGAGATGTGTGCAGCAATTCTTCAGCTTCAGGCTGTGATGGCTGCACATCTCCTCAAATCACAGCACAACACCAGTTTGACACAGACATGGGAGCACAGTCAGGGGTTTGCCCCCTGCTTCACAAAATTCATCCCTTTAACACCTTGCATTTGTTTAGAAATCTCTTTATTAAGTACTGACCAGACCAAAGCCCGTTTGATTTGGCAAGTGCAGACCTGGGGGAGGGGATCAAGGGAACAAAAACAACAACACTGCAGCCGATTCATCCCTCCTTGTTTATTCCACTAGAAATAGATTTGGCAGAATGCATCAGGAATGAACTAATCAGCAGGGAATTAATTGGCGTGTTAGTTAAAAGGCAGGAAGAAGGCGGTGAACAAATTCATGACTGGATGGCTGGAGGGTTCAAGCAGCCGGAGAGAAGCAGTGCATAGTGGAAACTGTGACTAGCACGAGAAGTCATCCAGCTGTGCCAGAGAGCCAGCGGCTGAGAGCTGCCCAAAAGAACCGGGGGCAAAGATAACACGAGTGTCCTTGGAGACAGAGCTGGTTTTGAGAGGGCTCCGTCACCCAGGCTTCCCTTCCCATAAGGCTCCCATGTGTGGGGAGAGATGGCCAGTTTGCAGGAGTGGGAGGGAGGGGTAACAGAGGTACAGCTGGAGGAGGCTCCACGGAAAGACTGTGGAAATGTGGAAAGCAGGGAAATGAAGAGGGACACGTCACTCGTTGCAAGCTGAAATGCAGAGGGGGTGGTAAGAAAGGAGCAGGGAGGCAGAGATTTGGAAGCTTCATCACAGAAGAACTGGCCTCAAGAGCAAAGGTAATGCTTGTATACAATTCTCTGCCTTATTTCCCAGGAATGTTTTGTTTCTTCCTCTGGAGGAAACAGATCCTTACACCTCAGAAAGAGGTTGTTGCATGGAGGGACTATAAAGGCACCTGTGGGAAGAGCCAGGAGAGGAAGGAATATGTGCAGACTGGCATGGATGTGGAGGTTGGAGTGCTACCTACAGTTCCTAGAGAGAACAAGAGTGTGCAGAGTGAGAGAAATAGGGAGAAAGAAAGAGAAAGCAAATCCTTAGGCAGACTGTCAGACAGACAGACAGACATGGAGAGTGCAAGGTCTGTGAGTGCCTATCTAAGGAGAGAGAGGAAACTTCCTAAGAGGAAGGACCGAGTACTAAATGAGAGAGAGTTGAAGATAAGACATATCCTGAAAAAGCAGGCACTCCTGGAGAAGAGGCAGAAGGTGAATATTACCTCCTCAAAGCCAACTGTACTTTACAGATGTATTGCAGCAGATGTTTGCTTTGCACCTGGTTGGCTTTTTGTTTTCTTTTCTTCTTTATCCCCACTATGGCTGCCTGCTGGCAACAGCATCACCTTAGCTGTCTCTCATCAGGGCTCTCAATCAGATCTCCTTGTTTGACAGGATGGTCAGGCTATTTCAGGGTTTCAGATGCCCTTCACTTTCACACAACATCCAGGTAGAAAATGAGCACTGTAACCCTCAGTTATATGAAAAAGCACTGTTTAACTCAAATTTGTAACCAAACTTGAAAAACTCTGGAGGATATTGTTATTCCTACATGTTGTTATTCCAACCTCAAACCAAGTGTGTGTGTGCACCAACATATAGGATTGTACCCACACACGTAAATTGAAGAATATTCCATCACAATGGATTTATAACAAAGACTTCTGAAACAGGTGATACTCTAGCTGTACCACTGTGGCTGGCTTAATATTGTAGGATCCAATTTTTAAAATTATTTTTGGCCTTTTTCATGATCTTTCCACCATTACATAATTCTACAAGCATATGCTAATGTTGCTTTTTTTTTTGGTTGTTGTTGCTTGGAGAGCTAACAAATGCCATCCGCTTTGCAAGTAGAGCTCTTGCAAATACTTTGATTGTTCTGGACTCACAGGCTTGGCAGCTTTCTCCTCTAAAAGCTTAGAGACCTTTCAAGATCCCAGGCTGGGAGTCTCACAGAACTGGCATTAGAAATTATATGCAGCTACAATATTTTTTTTTTTTTAATAAGAAACTGTTTGGTTTATATAACTGAAACCTTTTTGAACCTAATCCATAAAACAGAACCTTTCAGTTGGGTGTGTGTAAGTAATATAACCTTAAAATATTGCAATGGAAATAAAAGAGATAGAAGAAAAAAATACAGAGAGGAATTCCAACAGTATGCAAAACTAGCTTTATTATCTATTTAGATCCTTTACAAAATAGAGAATCTAAAACATACTTTGATGTTTAAGTACCTATTATCATTGGAGTGAGAGCTACATTTTATGTATTTATGATTCACCTGAGATCAAACTCCCTGATTCACTTAGAACTATATTTTATTTCCCTGCAAATGACCCAAAATCCAGAATCGCTCTTCAGCTTCAGTCTGACAGTAGCTCAACAGGAACTTGAAAAAGTTATGAGAGGAGAACAGGCCTCAAATGAAAAGCATTAATGTAATTCACTTGCATTTCAATGTTCAAACACAGAAAAAAAATCCTTAATTTTAGTTATCACTGCAGGGATTGATAACTGTAATCAACAACATCCTCTTCCCAAAACAAGCATGGGCTTGAGCTAACACACTGGGATGCTGATGCACTCAGAGAGGGCTTGTGTTTGGAGCAGTCAGAGGCACAGGGGAAGGTTTCAAGCCCCCTTGATGTACAAGAGGCAAGGTCTGCATCGTAAAGCAACAACTTGCACATCTGCAATAGGATGTGTGTGTTCTCCTCAGGCTTCAGGGGAGACAGGGCTCTCTGAAATGAAGCTGTGTTTGGTACTAGAAGCAGGTAACCTGGGCAAATCCCCGTATCCTGGCAGGCAGCACAACCCGCAGGCAGTGGGGCACTTCAGCCATCACGCTCAACCCCAGCTGAGGCAGATACCAAGGAAATCTCAGGGCTCTGTTGGGATTACCCACTGCATTGTGAGGGGGGATGAGCACTAGAAATGGAGCAACAAGAAACCAAAAGGGTTAATGGGAGAGGGACAGTGATGGGAGTTCAAATACTGGCAGTAGTCCTTTGCTTTGGGGCAGGGATTCTGGCTCGGATGGCACAACTGCTGATCACAGCAGGGCTGTGCTCAGGCTATCAAGCTAGCTGAGCTCTTTAATCATGCTGAAGTGAGGAATCAAAAGGTTAAATGATGAAAAAAAATATTGTGTGATAATGAGACAAATATGTTGGTCTTCACTGCCTGCAGATGAACGGACTGTCCAGTGAATCACTGAGCCTAATCTGCTCCAAGGCAGAATGTGATGTAATTTTCTGACAGCACTTCATATTATTGTATTTAATAGTAACAATGATAAAGCTAATATGTTGATATTGTTATTCTCTGCATTTAGGAAAGAGTTCCCATCCAAGGATGTGAGAGAGTTGTCCCTGCTTGTCCATCTGTGCTCTACCCTGATAGTACTTTCCAGTGCAACTCTGCAAAGGAGCAGAAGACATTTGAATCGGCTGGGGATCTGGTTCCTGTTACAGATGACCCCACAGACTTTTTCAGCTAGGAACTTTGTTAGTCAATATCCATTTGCTGTCTACAATTCCACCTAAGAGAGGGAAGATTGCTCATTTTCTGTGTGCCTGAGGTATGAGAATCTTCTTCAAAGATGATTATAACCTGATGTTTACTGTGATAATAAATTACGGTAGACCCTCAGGAATGCAGGGAGCAAAGCTACAAAGAAACTGGTCTGGGAGGGGCCCTGCAAATAGAACATGTCGTTCTTGGGATTCATTTGGACACCTGATGTTTTAAAAAGTTGGAGCTCAAGTAGCGTGGATTTTCAGTATAAGATGTAGGTGGAATTTATTACCACCCTACTTTTAACAAATAGAGAAAGATCAAAGTATCCCAGCTGTGGGGTATTAGAACAAGTGGGAGTTGGAAAGGATAAGGAATGGACAATCTCTACAGGAAGTTTTCCAATTAGCTTGGAAGCCACACTGTTTCCTTGATGTTGGCAGCATTTTCAAATCATTTGCAATTAGACACATAGGTGTCTGGTAAGTCCTTTCCCATCAGGGAAGATTAAAAAGGCATTTGCAGGGCATAGTCATTCAAAGAAAGAGAGAAAAAAAAAAGCTGTAAAGGCTGGCACATTTATCTGGAAAAGCTGAGAGGTGGAGGAGGTATGGTGTCAATGCAAATAGTTTCAAGAAGGTCCATGAAGACCTTTTCATTATGAGCCTTGGTGATATTGTCAGACCTTCTTAAAGATCTTTATTTTGGCAGCTCTGAGTTAGCAGGAAGAAAAGGTGTATGCATGTGTGAGATAGGAAGAAGGTAATTTATTTTTCCTTTAAATGAATACTGCAATTAGATGAAGAATACTAAATACAAATTACATCCTGACAGATGGAAAGTAATGTTTTTAAAGTATCATGACATTTTCCATTAGTATGGTTCTATTCATAATGATACTTTAAATAGTGGAAAAATAAATGCAGTTGCAATTAAAATGCACTAGTGATCAAATGTAAGAAAGGCATAAAGTGAAAGAAATTATTTATTTACTGCTTTGCCTGCTACAGCTTCTGGTAGGTTTTGAGGTGACTGAATTCTTCCCAGATGGTTATATTATATAAAAAAAAAAAATTAATGTCCTCATATTTTGCAGTGAGATCTTAAGCTTTTGATGCATGTACCTGAACAGAAGAATAATTCAGATTTTCTGGATGTGCCTGCTTCTCACATGAGCCCTTCCATCACTGTGACTACAGATGACCAAAATCATCACTAAACCCCATGAACTTGGCAATGCATTTTTTCTGTTTGCTATGTGCAATATGTGCATAATGGATATTTTCAGCCAATTTCTAGCAGAACAGCTGTTCATGACTTTTTTTTTTTTAATTAAAGTACCAGATTCAACACTGAGGGACTAATTTATTAGGAAAGAATAACAAATCAGCATGAGTAAGCTGTAGAGAGACTATCTATCCTCTTAGGTTTAGAGATGGTACTTGCCCAGGAGGGCTTGTAGGTTAGGGCTGGCTTGGGAATGATGGTAAACTTGAAAGAAAACAAGGAGTTGGGTAAGTGTTCACATCAGTTCATATACATGTCCTGTCAACTCTGCAGCTTTGCTCAGGAGGAACTGACCCCGTGACACCAGGGCAAGGTGGAGATTGTACATGAGGTTTGGAGTTACCTTTGAGGCTCCATCAATGGGCAGCATCTAAGATATTGCCACTGGTTAGTGATCAAAAAGAACTTTTTTTTTTTTATTCTGGCCACCATGAGACACTTGATAATTTGTTCAATGGTTGTTTACCTTGTTTCTCCAAAATACAGAGTAGGGATGCAGTGATTTTCCCACTCTGTAGTACCTCCTTCTGACACTGCTAGAACAATTGTAACCATAAGGTGCTATCCCAACACAGCTACATAGGAAGCAAAGCTACTTCCCCAGCTGCTGCTGGTTGATGAAGTATCTCAGTACTACTCTGTTGCTTGAAAAGGAAGTAAAGTTCATACCTGAGAAAAAGAAAAGTCCCTCTGCTTCTGTAAAACCTATTCTGAGCAACTTGAACAACATTTTAAATAAAAACATCACCAAAGAGAAATTTGGTCTTGTGATGACAGATGGGAAGTGGAGAAAGAGAAGAAAAAAGAAATAAAGCACTTAGCAAGACATTTTGTCTCCACAGAGACAAGGAGAAGTCAAGATCCTACAATGGCCATCATGGTGACTCCTCCTCTTTTCCTCCTCTTCATCCTTTTGCCCTGCAGTAAATCCCAGGAGGACTTTCTGGACCAGCATCAGAAATGGAACTACAGAGAAGGCGGTAGGAGGTCACAGCGGTGGTTCAGCATGGGAGGTGTTCAGTAACTCAGAGATGCAGATTCACTTATTTTGTCCTTGGAGTGGGATAGACAATGCTCATTCATGACTGCTCTTTCTTGATTCCTGGGTAGCTGATGGAGACTTCTGGAGAAAAAATGCTTTTAGAAATAATCAGCTGGGGAATCCAGTGACAGCAGAAACTCTAGGCACCTGGAGGTAGAGAATTACACTGTGAGAGAGAGTTACCTCCTTTTTAATTTAGATCCTCCATGTGTTTAATATTTGGCATTTCATCACAACTGAGTTGTGATGGGGAATGGAATCAAACTCAGAGCACTGGCTTGTATTTCCTTGTGCTGACACATTTGTTTTCCTCTCTTCCATGGACATCCTGCTAACCTAGCTGACAAGGTCAACATCGAAGGTGTTCACAGCATTACTCAAACCCTTGAGAAATGGGGAAATGACATCTTCTGGCAAATGAAGCATACCCTGCTGAACAACCCAAATGCTCTCCTGCCTGAGTTCTCCAGGTAATTCTTCTCATCTGGAGGTAGGATTCAGTCCTCTCCTGGGTGTCCTTCCCTGAGCAGGATTCATCTTCTAAAAGATGAATTTTCATATTTCTCAGTTGGGGGAAAATAAAACATTATCTCAGTGCCTCTGATTAGTAAACTGAATACTCTGCTAACTATTTATCGTGAAACACTCTCAATTGCCATCACTGTATTACAAGAATCTTCCTAAAGAAATTGCCCTTGGCAGCTCACAATTGTGAGAGCAGGCTGGAAAAAATGAATTGTTCTACAAATCCACACATGGGCTTGGCCACAGATCAGGAAAAAGAAGCTGATTTGGTCTGTGATGTTTATTTCAGTCTCTAACACCTTGATCTGAGAAAGCTATTCACCAGTTCATGTCATCCCATTCCCCCTTTGCATTGCTGGAGATATTAACTGTTGAACAAACTCATAAAATTTAATTCAATCTCATATTTCCAGAAAGAGAGTAGGAAAGGCTGGGAAAGAAAGAGAGGAAAAAGGAATATTGGGAATTACTAGAAAACTAATATCATTTAAATCAGAATTGTTCCTAAAGCAAGTAAAGTGGTTGTCTTCCATAACTAATTGTTCTCTTTAGAAAACAAGAAAAAAAAAAGTTTGCAAATGTTACACATTGAACCAGTTGAAGAGGAAAGATTAGAAGGAAAAAAGGCATTGGGCAGGTGGTCACATGGTATCTGTACAAATCAGGGTTTTGGGAGGATACATCATAGATTGTACATTGGCCTTGGGCATCAAGTGGATTTCTCCCTGGCTGCATGGTGGCTGTTACTAGCATAGAATTCATCACAACTTTCCCACTGACAGTGCTGAAATTCATTGGTGCCTCAGATTATCAGGGATGATATTAAGTCCTGTATTTGGAAAGTTCTAACTTTAGTCCAGGAATATGTGATGAGGGTATCCTGCCCTATATCCTGTACTGGGCTTTGAATTTTGAGTTTGCTGGCAAGGACACAGACTGGTCCATTAGAAATGTTGTACTCCATGGGAACCACTGGCCTAGCCTCCAGGTGTACTCCTAGTTAATTATTACTAATTAAAATAAAGTGGTGGAAAGACCATGTTGCTCATGCTGGTCCTGAAGCTTGTGCTTTCCAGGGTTCAGATGGGGGCCCTCAGATGAACTCCCATCACCGAAGAGCAGAGTAGCTTTGAAACATTTTTAATGCTTGCAACTCTTCCATCATCAAGGGCCCTTACCCAGCAAGAAACAAAGGTCATGGTAAATTACTTTGCATGCTCAGAAATACTCCCTAAACTGAGTTATTCTTCTGTATTACTCCTGTTGCAGTCTCCGCCCCGTCTCTGCAGCTGTGGACAACCTTGTGAGGGAAGTCCAGTCGATAAGGAAAAGGCTGGAAGAACTGAACGAACGTCTCAATGTCATCAGCAAAACTGTCCTTCCCCTTCGACTGAATGCTCTGCAGAGCCAGAGACGTGGAAATACTCAGCTGAGGAGACTCCCAACACACAGGAGAAGGTTATATGCTCGCAGGAGACCTCAGAGCAGACCTCAGAGCACTTAATTCTCTACCAGAAAAAAGGGGAAATCTTTTTTTTTTTTCATCTGCTTAAGCCTTTCCCAATGGGACATTGCTGGAGAGAAAGAAAGTAAAGCACACACACAAGTCAGCTTTGCTAAGGAGACCAGAACTTCTGCATTTTGTTGCTGCTTTAGGTCAGTAGGCAAAACCTGACCCTGTTCTTTAATGATGGCTGTTTTGTGTCCCAAGCAAAAAAAAAGTTGACAAGCTCAGTCTACTTGAGCATGAATACCTTTATTCTATACAGGCATTCTTTCTGCTTACCAGAGGAAGGTCTTTTTATAAAGATCAGGTGAATTTCTCTCTCTGCCCTATTTTTAAAGCACTCCATCTGAAACAGCTGGGGAATTTGAACTTTGAAAGTGCTGAACAACTGATGAATGCAGAAAGATGGATTAGTGCTTGGCACTTCCAGCTGGGCAGGGAGAGGAAGTTATGTTTCAAAATATTGCCTTAACCTATTGTCCATGTTCATATGTTCAGAAGGTGAGTAGGGCTGGATAACCTTGGTCTGTACACCACGACTCAACACTGAAGATATATCAGTTGCTAGGGACCAAATATGAACCTTCTGCAAAGAGTCTTTTTCTAGCTACCTGGAACTGTGCACTCAGAATGGTGTTACTCAGTAGATATGTTCAGAATTTCCAGCACTCTGAAACACACTGAACTGATTTTTGCCAAGACCCATGGAAACCAGGGGATTTTAAAATTGTTTTTCAAAACTATTTAGATACCTAATGGCAAAGATAGGTGTCTGGAAGGATTTTCCAAAATAGCTTAAGAGACTCTTCAGCCCCCAAAATCACAGTTAACAATTCAATTGGTGTCTAGTTCACAAAGTATTTTCTCCACATGCCAGCATTGACCTCCAGACATTTCCCACCATCCTTTAGCACAATTAATATCTGTAGAAAATTAACAACCATACTCTACAAAGACTTTGGTCCCTCAGGGATTACCCAGAATACCCTGCCTTCAGCTTGTCTTTGCCTGTGTCTTCCTGACAATAAAGCTGGTGATTAAAAAAAGAGTGCATGAATCAAATTATGCACTGAATGGAGGACAGACTGGCCTTGCCCTTCAGGTCTCTAAAGATAAATCCAATACAGAGATTTCCATTCAGCACTGCAGTCAACTGTGTACATGAAATGTGTTGAAACATAAGAAAGAGAGTCAGAGAGGAAAAGAAACAGGTTGCCTTTAAGGTCTGGATGAAGCAATTTATGAGAACACAAATAAAGAATGGATTATGTCTAAATGATTGTCGGGTGTCTGGCATGTCAGTTGTTTTGAAAACACTCTCCAGTCACAGTGAGGATGCAGACTAGCTATTTAAGGATTCCCAAAGCCTGAGTTTATGGAAAGAAATTCAGTGACAATACAATAACCTCCAAAAGGAAAGGGGTAAAAACTAGTTTCATATGAAATCTTTCAGAATGGACCAGAAGAATTAACACAGTAAGAATTTTAGCTGCAGCCTGGGAGTTAGTTGAGTGGGGGAGGTATGAGACAATTTGGTAAATAATTCCTGGATGTAAGTTCTCTGAGTTTCAGAAAATAACAAAATTCAAACTTGGCCCTCTTTGGCTTCTGCTTGGGAACTTGAAACGCTGCTTAGCTAGAGAAGAGAAAAATCAAGACTCTGAAAAGGCTGATAAAAGGATACAGTTGTGCCTTTGTTGAAGTTGTCATCATAATTTCTCAGGAAATGTAGAGCATTTTGATCCCAGAATATATTTACATAAATTACAAGGAATAACAGGAGAGAAAGGCCCCTAACTTCTTGTTATTCTGCATTCAGAGTTTCAAGGCTGTCCTGTAGCAACAGCTGCATCCTTGCACAGACTGCTGATCCCTCCAAGGGATGCTTTGCTTGGGGCTGTAGGGACTGCTGGTTATTTTGGCCTGTCTGGAGGAAGAGTACAACATAAATGTTAGCTTTCATGGTTGCATTTTAGACACGAGCATTTTATCAGGCAACCTGAAGCTGTATAAATTGAGGACTACTTGAAACACAAAGATAAGACTTCCCTAAGTCCCTGAAGTTACAGATGGCTGGTGGTGGGAGGCCAGACCAGATCATTGCATAGTTTTACTTTACACCTAAATGTCCACCACCAGCTTCTGCCAGAGACAGAGGACAGAGCAAGGTGGACCCCCAGTCTAACCCAGTCCACGTATTCCTATGCTGATATGTGCAAGTTTGTAGTCTTGGCAAAACCTCCTCAGCACAATGGAGAAAGTCACCATCTACTTTAAAAGAGAACAAATAAGCTGCAGCATGCAATTTGTATTACAATTCTCCAATTTCTTGCATAATGGTGAATAAACCAAGTAATATAAATGGTTAATAAATTACTAATCTGTGACCTTGTCACCAGTGACAGGAGCCCTGTCATTCACTCTGTGAAAGCCCATGCTGGGCTCCAGCCCAGCTCCCTGACCTGAACACAGCCTGTTTGATCAGATAACAGCCAGCTTCTTTCTGCACGACCCTCTCTCTAGACTGAAAAGTTTTAGTGTCCTATTTATCTTATAATTTTATTCTTTGCTCTTTAAGAGTGTAGGAAGCTTATGCACCAGCCTACTTCTGCACTGTTCACTTTCTATATGAGGAGGCAGCAGTCCAGCTGAGCAACTTGAGATGCCTCTGTCCCATCTGCCTGGGGAAGCTGGCCTGACCCATGGGACTGATTCCCAGGGACTGGTATTTGATTTCTGCTTCTGCTAACCTCTTCTTAAAAGATCCTGGGTAAGGCACTTTCTCTAGCTGGCACTTGGCCTTAGACTTGGCTTATACAACAAAAAACCACTTGTCACAAGGTGTCTAAGTCTTCTGTGCATATAAATGTATCCAGCTACAGAAGCCATATAAGCTCTCTGCTATGTTCATTTACATGTATTTCTGGGAAAGGATCTGGACAGAACGTTTAAACAGAGGTGACCAGTTGGGTGGTCAGTGGAGGGAGATCAAGTATCATTAGGAATTTCTAAAATCTACCCTTCGCCTAAAGCTTACAATATCCAGCAACCAGACCTACTCCTTAAAAAACAACTATGTTCCCCTTATTTCTGTTTATTTTTAAAAAACCACAAAAGACTGAAAAAACAAGAGGTTATGATTTTGCAACTCCAGGACCATGGTGCCCTTCCACGCTAGGCATAATACACTTTGCCAGGACTTCCCTTTTCCTGTACTTCATTCCTTTCATATCCCCTCTCACATTTCCTGTCTCCCAGAGATGAATACCATCTGTTCCCGCACTTCATGACTCCTCACACTTCTCGGTGCCCTCCACATTTCGCCCTCCGGGGCGGCCGCTCCCGGTGCCCCCGCACGGCCGCGGTCCCGTGGGGCGATAGCCGCGCTGCGGGCGGGGCGGCTCCGACCCTCCCACCTCCTCCGAGCGGGGCCGAGCCGAGCCGGCAGGGGCAGGGCCGAGCCCAGCGGGGCAGAGCCGAGCCGAGCGGGGCCGAGCCGAGCCGAGCGGGGCAGAGCCGAGCCCAGCGGGGCAGAGCCGAGCCGCGGCATCATGCTGGGCATGGTGAAGAACTCGCTGCTGAGCACGGTGGAGGCATGGCCCTACCGCCTGCTGAGCAAGGGCGAGAAGGTCTGTGCCGGGCGGGTGTGCGCTAAGGCGCTGCGAGGGAAAGCGGGGATCGGCCCCGGGCAGCGCGTTCCTCCTGGCAGCGCCTCCATCCCCATCTCCTTCCCCAGGATCAGGTCAGCTACGAGGAGAGGACGTACGAGGGCGGGAAGTTCGCGGCGGTGGAGCTGGTGGGGAAGCCGTTCGACGAAGCCTCGAAGGAAGGGGCAGTGAAGCTCCTCAAGTACGTCGGAGGGAGCAACGACAAGGGTGAGGATGCTGCCTGCCCCGCGGGGCTTGGCGGGTGTTGGTGGTTGAGGCTTGGTGAAAGCGGGATGGATGGAGGCAATGGCACTGCAGGCCCGCCTGGCTTGTGGCTCCTGGCACGGGGGGTCTTTGATGGGGATGGCCCTTCACCGATAAAACTAAATTTGCAACAGGCTAAGTTGTGCCCAGCCAGCTCATTCTATGAATCCACTTATAACCCATCTCTGTTTCAGGATGAAATCTCAAAAATTATTTGTTTAAACAGGAATGAGTTACCTTGCAGCTGGGATAACATGAGGACAGGCAGACAGGTATCCATCACAGCTCCCTGGGTGAGCAGTAGCTGATGAAATCCAGGATATCTGGGACACTTCGGTTCTATGATGTGCCCTTGTGGGCAGTGAAATAACAGTTACGACCTTGATATTTTATCTGGCTATTTTTATTCATGAAAGGGTAATGAACAATGAGCTTCCTTTTAAATGGTATATTTTAATGTTTTATGGCAGTGCTTCCAGATGATTGCTTCTAATTCTCACCTTACTAAAATGTGCACATTTTAACCATTCATAGCAGGAGAAGACTACAGAGTAGCTCTGAGGCGTATACATGTTCTCAAATACCTTTCTCCAGCATCTAGTAGAGGGATTAATGTAGTCTCTATAGAGTAGGAGGTGGATGCAGTGGGAAATGGTATTTGCAGTAACATTTTCAGAAAGTGATGATTGCTGTTGCTGTAGTAGAAGGGGTGCCTTCTATAACATGTGAAACAAACACAGGTATGACATCAAAGGAAAATAAATGAGAAAGATGGCTTGAGCTCTGCTGTTTTTATGGCTGCCTGGTCATGAGGTTTAGAGGTTCCCTACTGCTGCAAGAAGAGTGAAGAAAACTGGTCTTCAGTGCCATGTGGTACTTCTTGGTGGTAATGAGTAGGAAAAAACCTTGCTGTTCCTGGAGTGTGGAAAGCATGGAAAGTCCTGCTGAAAGGCATAACAGCACTGAGGTTTGGGGCACTGGCACTTGTAGGATGTCTGGAAGCATTTGGGAGGTTTTAAGAGAAGGCTTCTGTCACCCAGTATTGGCTGTAGACTCATGACTAAGTGCAGATAGTATTAATTTAAATGCTGATGTAGGTTTATACAGGCCACTGGCCTGCCCTGGAGCTACAGATCCTGCTGTCTTTCAACTGATTTGTCAGAAGAACAGAGTGTCTAATAGAGCCACAAAAGCAGCACCATTAATAAAAAGCATTCCAGAGGTCAGTCGGAACCCTTTTTTCCCAAGCTTCTCGTGTGGACAGGGAGCTTGGCCCAAGCAGAAGCCTGATGATGGCTGTTCTGCTTCCTCAGAGGAGCCCTCTCCTGACATGGAGTTTGTTCATATGAGGAATTTTCCAAAACTAAAATTAGCTTTTGTGAATTCCCTGTTAATTTTGTGAGTTCCTGAGAGCATAGACTTCTTTAGTAATGTCTGTGTGTCTGTTTCAGGGGTTGGAATGGGCATGACTGCTCCTGTCTCCATCACTGCTTTTCCTGCTGAAGATGGCTCCTTTCAGCAGAAGGTGAAAGTCTCTCTGCGGATCCCGAGCCAGTTTCAAGACAGCCCTCCATGTCCTACTGATGAAAGCATTAAGATTGAAGAAAGACAGGGAATGACCATTTATTCCACGTAAGGAATGCATCCTGGGATCTCCAGTCTCAAGTGATGAGGTCTTTAGGGTGCTCTGATGAGCAGTGTTTGTTTTACCAGGTGACTTGCTGTACAAGGGTGCATGTGGCAAAAGGAGATGGAGGAGTATGTCTAGACTAAAGACAGGTGTCTTCAAAAAAATGTCACTTCTTACCCCTGGTCATGCTGCACTGATGTGAAATATGGATTTTTTTTCCATTGGGTAAACAAGCATGGAGGCTAGCCCTGAAAGATACTGTCCCATTTCTATTGCATGAATCTATTGTTTTTCCCACTTTCTGGGAAAGTCATTATGCATGTTCTTTGGTGCAGTTCACAAACTGTCCACTGAAGCCTCATTCAGATGGACTCATACCAGACTCCACCATGGAAACAAGTAGCTGCTGCATTGCTTCAAGTCACCTTTGAATGTTTTGGGGTGTTGACTGACAGCCTGGACTCAAACTAGCATCACAATAGCAATAAGCCTTTCACCTTGTCTTTACCCTTTGGAGGTTCCCTGCCTACTTTCTTGAACTATTTTGGCTGACTCTAACTGACTTCTTTCTTGCCTCCAACTGCTGCTTGGCCTTTGCTCTGGGTGTGGGCCACTTCTGCAATATCAGCCTGTTTTGTCTCAAATTTCAGCCCTGAGGGAGGGTGGTGAGGTGCAGGCTGCCTTGGAAACAGTTCCTGTTGGTGGGAGGTCAACATAAACCGGACCCATTTCAGTCCACCCCTTTTAAATGGCATTGTGTTCTGTAATTGCCAATTGTGTGTTCCTACCTCTCCTTTTCCTTGGGCTAGCTCGAGTTTGGCTTTCCTTCATGATCTTTCCAGCAGACGGTTCTTCACACCACAGTGAGCGTGGTTGTTGACAGCATTGGTGGGGACTGTAGGCTGAGCTGTCTTGGAGATAACCTTGTATTTTAGAAAGTTGTTTCTCTGATATGGTGCTGATTCACAGGGCAGGGCCATTCTGCTGGCTGACATACATGGGGCTGTTTGGGGGGGATTCCTTCAGGGCCTCCCAATGGATAACTGCCCAGGGACTTTTGTTATTGTGCTTGGTGGACCCAGGTAGATTTTATCTCATGCACTTGTCAAGTTGCTTGTCACCCTTGGCTGTGTCACCCATGCGACTTCGTCTGTCCCAGATGAAGTGTGCTGCTTCACAATGAACAGTGCACACATGAGTGAGTGCATGTTGGCAGGGCCTGGATCAAAATGCATGTCTAAATATACTGTGACTATTTATTGCTCTCTCTCTCTTCCTTCTTTGCTTTTCCAGGACTGCTCAACAGCTCTCTGGTTTCTTTGCAGGCAGTTTGGTGGCTATGCCAAAGAGGCAGATTACGTGAGCTATGCTGCCAAGCTGAAGGCTGCTCTGGGGAGTGATGCTGCCTACCACAAGGATTCCTACCTGTGCAATGGTTATGACCCCCCCATGAAGCCTTACGGACGCCGCAATGAGGTCTGGTTTGTGAAGGAGTGAACATCTGGCTCCCCGTGGTGCTGCCTTGCTCTGATAACCTCCCTACACTATGTTCCTGTCCTCTTTATAAAATAAACTAAGAATTCAACAGAGGCAAAAAACTATCACTGCCTTTTTCCATGCCTATGCCTTAGTCTTTTATGAACCATAAAAGTCATTCTAGAAGAACACTTGCTGACCCTCCTGATGGTCCTGCTCCTTCATTCCAGACCAGGTCCTCAGCCACACAGACTCTCTTGATCTCTCCGTGGCTTGTTTTTATCTCCTTTGTGCTTCCAGAGTTCAGTGCTGAGAAAGCCAAAAGTACTTAATTGGCTGGTGCCTGACAGGAGTCACGTCCAAGTGTAGGCAGACTATTAGTCTCACCTGAGACGGGCAGGGGAACATGACAAAAGTGCATACAGAGACTTTTTTATCTCCTTCAGTTTGCTGCAGCTGTAAAATGCTGCTTTTATCTTTGCCATTCCACAATCAATCTAAAGGCACACGGGCATTGCTGCCAACACAGCATAGAGAAAATAAACATTCTTTACATTAATTCAGAGTGTGCAGAAGATCAGCGCTTCTGTCATCTGTCTGAGAAATGCCATTCAGAGAAAGATACAGATTCTGCTTGCAGCTTTCTTTTGTTTGAGGAGAGATGTTTTGGTGTGTGCTGTGTCTTCATCTCAGCTAGCAGCTGGACAGTGTGACCTGGAGACCTCAAGATTGTTTCTTCACCTTCCTATTACTTTTGTGTAACATTTCTTTAAAACTAGCCTATGCAAGGGCCAAAGCAGAAATGTGTGTGGTTATCTAATTGAATTAGAGAAATGAAAGACTGGAAGAAAGCAGATGCTTATTATTTGTGACCTGAGTGTGCATTTGAGGAATGATGAAAATATGGTGAAACTACTGTGGGTGCCAATCTAAAAAACTTTTCTTAAAAGGTATCAATTTTTGAAGGGCTACTCAGACCCGCTGTTTTCTTTAGAGGAGGAAAAGGAAAACCATGGCTGTCCTAGAAAACAGGGATTTGGGTCAAATAATCAGTAGCCTTTTGGAAACTTCGAATACAATTGCAAGTGTGGGTCATGTTTCAGGAAGAGTGGCAATGTTGAAATGTCAGGCATCAAACCAGCATTTTAGCTGTTGGCTCTGCCAGGGACACACCAGAGTGCCCACAGTGGGAGCACTCACCCTGCTGCTGGGTGTGTATAATTCATTACCTGCACTAAAAGAGGTGTGCTCCTCTGGTGGTGAGGTGCCCCATAGTTCATGTGCTTTCCAAAAGCCATTTTCCCCTGGAGCTGAAAGAGACATTTGTCAGCTGGCATTGTGGCTTCTGGC